TGAGATATATTTGGTGGAGTCATTGTATATTATAACAAGAGAGGTGCGCAAAGTTGGTGGGGTGGCTCACTCGCTTGTATGGCTCACTCGCTTATAAACTACGTTAATAAAAATCCAGCTCGATCCAGAAACATGATATGACCATATCATCCGCACACCCGCCCTTTTCCCAAGTTTTGATTTTTATACTGCACTGGGATAAGCCGCAGTCATTTATATAACTACTCAGATGCCGGCAGGTGCGACTGCTGTTCATGGTGGTAAAGTGATTAAGCGGGGTCAGCAGTATTATCGTGAAACGCAGCTGATGAACCTACAGTGAATAATACTATGGAAGTGATTTGGCTAAGAATAGGCATACGTGGAGCAGATCAACAAACTTCACGTTGGTTTTGCAAAGCGCCACTCTGATACCATCAGCACTCTGTGGCATGCACAGCTGGCTATAATAGCCTTGTCACATTTTGAAGCTTGGGTTAGAAAGACACTAAACGTGCGAAAATCAGGACCACGACCAAGAGTAAAAGCAGCAAACCCTTTGCGGGGTGAAAGCCTGACTTCTCATTTCATCACTGAAGCAGGAGACGGTCTCAGGGAAGTTTGGTCTAGAATACCCTAGGACGTGGGATGAAATTGAATTTTTTTTCTATTAATTGAACAACTTTACATTCGAAAACCAAAAAACAACCAGAGTAAAAGTTTAAGAGTTATGAGACTTCAGAAGCTTTCATGAAACAATTTTGTGAGGTTTGGTTTTCTGCACAAGTAACCCATCGAGCTAGCGTCTCTAAGAGATTTTACAGGAGTCAGATGTGACAAGTTATTTCACAAGGTGCGAAGCATCGTCATAGTGTCGCCTTGGAACTTCCTGTAAGATCCGCTATGCACTTGTCTTTTTAAGGTTGTGAAAAGGAAGACGGAAAGGAAGTCGGATAGTGTTGGTAGGCACTCTTGACCTGTTGTAGGTTGATGAACATGTCTTGGATGTGGGAAGTTGGATATATGAGGCGGGACCTGAGGCGGGACCTGAGGCGGGACCTGAGGCGGGACACCTGAGGTCTTGCACATATGAAGCCCCAGGACTTGCGAAGAAACGCACAACCACCAAACATTGAGCGACTTTCTTTGAAATTTCCCTAATATTTAAGATCCGATACTATTTGCGGGATTGCTGACACGTATTTTAGATCCCGTGAATACCCACATAGTTTGTAAAACCTCGGTTACAGTTGACCAACTTATGCAGCTTCTGGCAACTTCCGCCGACCGCTCCACACCGCTGGATTCTATTCAATATTCCATCAATCTTCGATATAGATAATTTTTTTTCGAAAAACCTACCTTTTCCAGACCTGATTACCAAGCTCCGGGTCCAGATATCGGGTCGACCGCAGTTTGCGTTACAACACTTCGGCTGGACCCTGCGGCGGTTCTTTCAATCACCCGTCGGCAAGTGTGAGACTTTAGGGTTTTTTCTGGAATGATGACTGCGCACTAGCCAGAAAGCTTGGTCGTTGTTTCTACTAGTCTCGAATGTTATTTTTGTTTTAGTATCGATCTGAGGGACAATACTATGAGTCGTGGACATCGAAGTGGGTGGCATCTGGCACTGGAGAGCTCGCTGACATGCATCGAGCCTGGCGCTACTGGAGCATCATGTCTGTTTGGGTATGGAGAGAGGTCTAGAGCGCCTTCGAAATTGTGTGGCTATGCTTCTTGAACGCACTTTTGTCAAGGGAAAGGTGCGGGAACTGCTTTAGGCACCTAGCCTCTGATTGTTATTGGATTCCTCGCCAGTATCGATGAGTTAGAAAACGTACTTAGAGAAATTGGGGTAAGAAACTTACGTTCTTTGAAGATCAATCTCTTGTATGATGAATGTTTAGTTGTATCTTCGCTGCACCTGTCATTCAAGAGTAGAGGAATCAAGTAGAAACGGTTTCCAAGAATTTCCAGACGGTGAGGAAACCTTATTCATCCCGGAGTTTCCGAGCGCCATGACGTGAATGTTGGGCTTTTTTTTAAACCTAGGATTCTATATCCCATGGGTCACATGATGCGGGCAAATACGGCGTGTCGCACAAGGTTGAATTTATCGTGGAGTGCGGAGGAAGCCGCAAAATCCCAATGGATGGTAAGGCACTATACTCATTTAGGTAGAAATTATACTATGCCATGCTAAGTGAAGCACGTTTCGTTCCGTTGTCAGCTATTCGTGGGCACAGGCTTTGGCTGCACGGTTTTGACGCTGCTCCTCACGCTCGTAGGCGAAATCAAAATTCGGTGGTGCGATGAAGATTGCAGCCCTCACGGCGAGCCGAAATGTGCTCTGATTGAGTTAATCACATTTTTGGTTTCCTTTTCCTTTTTATATATCACTCGATGTAACAGTTAAATACTATGCTGAAACTCCCATGCTATCTGAACTAAGTGATTGGACATTGTGATTTGACATGAACGGAACCATGTTTTCACGGGAGATAGCCATTTCAGCACGCTCGATTCTCATCTAATACACTAGGAAACTGTATCAGCTATCTTAGTATCGCTAGGCAGTTGATGTACCTCTACGTAACTAAGTAACTTCTGTGTAGACTAGATGAACTTAGACCTGCGGAAGTGGAGATCACATATTCGTTTTCGAAGCCTAGGAAAGTTGCAGATCCTCCTCTACATGCGCGACACACCGCATGGGGGGCTTTTAGATAGGACGTTGGACATCCTACATATTCATTTCGCCCACGACCTGACAATAATATTATTTCAATTTCCATATGCAAGGAGATGGTGAGACGCTTTACTATGCGAATCATCTGTGATGGGATTCGTTGACAAATGCGCTTCACGTGCTCTCACCCTTCTCATATCTACACCTACATAGTCTATCGTACAGCCTCATCAAATACCAGGAAGTAACCAGGACACCCAGCAATTTAGCCTGATCTGACACAGTCTGTAGTGACATGCAATGCGGATTTGATTGGGTGTGTATCGACTCTTGGCCAATCGGGTATGGACGGCTGTTCGGGCGCATTCCTAGATATGTATGCGGAAGCGATTCATGTCGACTGATGGACCAGGGCATAGGTCCGAATTGGGCAACTGATTTTTCCATAAAAGGAAGGGGAGTCGTGCTTACTTATGCTGAGGCTTGTAGGCTTGGAGTTGGAGTTTGGAGTTCGGAGTATTAGGGTTGTAAATGATCGGCGTCGGATGGAGAGGATCGTACGATCCTCAAGTTCTAGAATGCATTTTCGCTTTGCATGTGAGCGGTCATGGAGTTAATTGTGTTTTATATTATAGTGAACGATGTTAGATACTCTATCCATATGTGTTTTTGGGCTGCCTTCAATGTCGTTGGCAAGTGACTTATGTCTGGTCTGTGGATGCTGTTCCTCGATATACGTCATACAATTGCATGCGCCAATCTTTAAATCCTCGGAAACCATTTTCTTGGCTTCTGCTCCTGATGTTTTTGGAGAGCATGCCTGGAGTAGACGCGTGTAGGACTGTGTCTTGAGTATCGCAGCAAGGACAGTTTTTGCAAAGCTCAGTTTTCAAGTACAAGACTGCAGCGCTGCTACAGTCAATAGTAGTAATTTGCTCCATTTGATGCCCAGCTTGATTCTAGCGTGCATGAGAAACGATACAGGGAATTTCCGCCGTTTATGCATAGTGCACTGCTTGGTAGTGTGAATCGGGCCCCTCTTGTTTCTTGGAGGCATATCCATGTGGCCGTGGACACGCCCATCATCGTTGCTCAAGGAATCCAAAAAGGGGCTCGTCGCGTCAAATATCCTAACAGAAGTCGCTGTCGCAGGGGGCTTCGTCGATCAAGGCATGAGACATGCTTTATCTCGTCGCGGCCATATTATATCAGGTCTAGGGGCTGCCGGGCCATCCGCCTCAATTCGCTCACCGAGCCTGAACTATCTGAAGCGACCCGGCCGGTCAGAAACAATGAACCAGGCGCTGATTTCGGTATCTGTCAGCGTCTGGTGTTCTGCTTTTGAAGTCGCTGGCAGGCTTATACATAATTGTGACGGATTGCACCATCTTGCAGACGTACAGCTGGCACTCTTGCCATATGCCTGAGATCAAATCATATACCCCAGCAACGAAAGAAGCATGCGGTCAGCGGGTCAGTGGGCCGATCGAACGGTTGTTGGGTTCAGGTTGATGACAAGGAAAGTTTCGGAACAGTTTGACCGCAAAGCTGCCGACCAATGAGTAGACCGATCGCTCTCATCTTCGCAGTCGCAGCCAGAATGAGTTTGGGGAGTCTGAAAAACATTCACTGTTGCTAGTGCTTGCCAGTGTCATGGATGTGGGCAACGAGCGCTGCAATCGATGGCTTCGGGACGTACCGACACCTGGGAGAAGACCATGGCGATGATGCACGCATGCAAAGGTAATAACGCCAGATAAGGAATGATTGGTCTTTGTGATCTGCAATGAGCACTAACAGGGGCAGTGTTGAGCATTCTTCTGCCCTGCCACGCGTTAGTCTTCCCCGCATTTCCTTCTTGGGATGCGGATCCTAGCCCGCGCGGGGTGTGCATATCAGCAACGCACTTGGCCCCTAGCATCAGTCAGACCTCTCCAACTTTTCCCTCTTCCTGCCGCAGAAACCGGGCTCTCGCTATGAACTTCGTCGACGTGCAGCCAAAGTCATTTCTCGACTACGCATGGACATCGCCATCTCCGGCAGCAGTAACTGCGACGAGTAAACCATCCAAGACGAGCCGGAAGCAGAACCGGTGTTGTGACCAATGCCGGAAAGGAAAGCGAGCTTGTGACGCCGCTATTCTAGAAGACACCTTACTGGAGACCAGCCGCACTGGTGCTAGCCCTACGGTATTTCACTATAGTGGTGAGCCACGTCCCTCTATAGGGTAGGTGTAGCGTCAGCTGACCATTCAGACGTCTATGGGCCACTAGCTTCGTGTGGAAATTGTGAGAAGACAAAAAAGACCTGCACATTCGAATGGTTGCGCTCTCAGCGTGTATCACAAGCTTCGCAACCACAGGCGACGAATGCGCCATCACCAAAACGACGTCGGACAAGAAGCGACTCGGGTAGTAAATCACAAAAAGAAAACGGACCGCATCCATCCACAACCACTACGAGGCAAACAGACCCCCGAATTCAACACCACCAACAATCTCTTCTCAACACCACACCGCCCGAATTAGGATTTACGTTTGGTGACTTTCCCTGTGGAACTTCTTCATTTGCAATCGACCCAACACCGAATTTCATGGATGAGCCATTCTTCAAAGGAGAGATAAGTGATGCAGAGCCTCTCCTCGACTATTTAGGCGCGCTCTCCGAGGAAGACTGCAACCTACTTGATTGTGACTCGGGTAAAGGTTCCTCACTAAGAACCTTATCAGACGTCAGCGACAAACCTGGTGACAGCCCGAGAACAGACTATGAAGCCAATAGCACGACTGAATCCAACAGCACGACCGATGCCAAGTCAATCAGCACAAATGAATCACTTGTGCGTGTCGATAGGAAAAGACGCCGGCGCAGCTCTTCAGCATCTGTCTCATACAGTATACCTCCTTACCCAGTCATATCATATGCCGACAACCTTCTTCTGTCCGGTAACAAGATGCACCTGTCCGAAAAGCTGCTGAAGATCTACCATGATAGTTTTGAAAACGCGCTCGCCTGTTGGGTCACAGAAAGGACGTGTCCATACAGCGCGAGAACCAATAGCCTTCTCGCCACAAATGCTAGGCCAGATTGGACAAGCATATACCACCGAGTAATCCGCCTCGATAGACTGGCGTCAACAATCAGAGGGCGGAAACTTACACCAACTGAGGATCAGGCAGCATCGAGAGCCTTGGACCTTGCTGTCCTCTCTTTTGCTTCACAGTGGGCCCAATCCGGACAAACAAGTCGGACAAGATACCCATTCCATAGTACCGCAGTTGAAGGCAACTGCGGCGTATTCGATGGCCAAGGAGAGGACCATGAGACAGTGGGCTTCGACCGTACCCTTCAAACGACCGCGTGGCACGATGCCCGCAACGCATTGCAGAAGGCTGGTGAGATAGAGTCGTTCCGAGTGGTGCTTGCGCAGATCATATTCGCGTTGACACAAAGGCCTAGTGTGACAAACTACGCGTCTACCAAAGACCTGGACGCTGCCATGACGCATGAGGTACTGAACTCGCAGAATAGCACCGAGAATATCCAAGGCGCCTCAACTACCTTAGTAGACCCAGATATGGACGAGTGCTCAGATTTGATGTCAAAGTTAGATCTCGCAATTGACGCTGACGGCCCCCCTGTGCACCTCGAATCAGGCCTCCGGCTCATACATTCATTAAGATCACGCATGGCTGTGTCGAGGCAACAACGACGCACCAAGCCTGGGCTAAAGCAATTTGGAGAACAACGACGTTCACCAGCCATGCGTCTTGAAGAGGCAGATCGCGCAACAGTCGACTTACTTTTCTGGCTTGGTGTTACATTCGATACGTTATCAGCAGCAATGCACAAACGACCACTGGTAGTATCCGATGAAGATAGTGACGTTGTGCTAAACGAGAGTATGCAATCGAATGACTCGGCCTATCCCGAAACGAAACCAAATCCCAAGGCCGTGGGCGATGGTCTTTGGGACGGATACTTGTTCGCTCGTCAGCAACATCCGGAACATACACCTACCAGATGGCCCTGTTCTTTCGATCAAGCGGCAACTGCACTCTGCGATGCTGCTCCAGTCAAAGTGTTGCTTTTTCGGAGAGTATGCCGTATCCAAACACTTTTGACTAGGAATGCTCGTGGTGTAGCGGTTGAAGAAGCCGTCCATGCGGCACTAGATGTATGCAACCATTGGAACGCGCTCTATGCACCCTTCATCAGAGACTGTATTCAACACCATGATAGTCTTCCACCTCGCGTCCAGTCATGGTATGTCTGTGTCGCCGGCCATTGGCACCTAGCCACGCTTCTTCTCGCAGATCTAATGGAAGTTGTGGACGAATCTGAACTTGGCCTTGAGGAGACAACAGAACACCGCAACTTGACCGGCTTTATTGCCAGATTCCGGGAGAACAATTGCCGAATCTTGTCGGACCTTGCGAGCTGCGCGTGCCCCCGCAGTGACACGCCATTTCCGTCCTCTCGCGAATTTCATTTTACCATTAACGAGGGCGCATTACTGACAGATCCATGGACCGCAGTATTGATTCGCGCCTTCGCAAAAGCAAGTGTGCTACTACTGGAGTCCGAAACACTCTTACCATCTGACATGGACCAAGAAGATGCTTTTAGACGAGCAGATGATTGTATCAAAGCTTTGTGGTTCTTAGGAAGAAAATCAGACATGGCTCTTGCGGCTGCAAGGATACTTGGAGATGCGTTGAAGCAGCGGCGCAAGAGTGCGCAAGACCGGATCAGTGACATGAGTACCTTTCTTGAAAGCCAGTTATGGCACGATCTTGACGGCTTAAATGAGGCTTTCGATGTAGAATGTGACCCATAGCTAGTCAAAATGTATTACTATGACTCGTTTGCTCTCTTTGCCCGTGTGAGTACTATGAGACAAGTCAGTAATCACAAAGCCATTTACTTGCAGTGACGCACGGTTCATGTCCACGTGACTTCGCGTTCAACCGCGTCAACGGGTCGGAGTATCGCGGCACCACTTGGAACTTGCTGCTGCCCCTTACGTCCCTGAACTACCCCACACATCGTACCCATTGACGCTTATCAATGCTTTGCTCAAGATTTGACTAGCATACGGCTATTACCTATATGACAGCTGCGTGATCGCCGTTTACTATCACGCAAGTAGTAAGACATGTAAACAGGTCATTTGTCAAGAGCCTCACGCCTTACAACATATACATCATGGGCATCCCAGCGTATGCATTCTGAAGCCCGGCAACCGTGGGACGCCTTGCTAATGAGAAATTAGTCTCTGGGATACTATCAGACGCTACGAAGAAGCGGTTCCGATTGCACAGCTCGCTGAAGATCACCACCGGCGTCATGGCAAGCCTCTCAGAATCGCTGTCGATGAGGCCGACTGGCGCTTCAACAATCTCACGCCCCAACAAGTCTATGCGATTCGTGATGGTGAGCAGTCTTCTAGCTAATGCTGTATTGTACTCACAATAACAGCGACCAATCAACATGCGTTTCAAGGCGTCGAAAAGGCCATGTTCTACCGCCTCTGTCGCCTCCTAACGCTGAATATCCAGCTCGTTTTCGTCTTCGACGGCCCTGGTCGCCCTTGGAAGCGAGGCAAGAGAGGGCAAGGGCGTATTAATTATGAAGAGAGGCGGCTTCTACAGGAGCTGCTCAAATATCTCGGAGTTCCATATCATGAGGCTCCCGGGGAGGCAGAAGCAGAATGTGCCCGTATGCAGATACTTGGTATAGTCGATGCTGTGTGGTCACAAGACTCTGACTGCTTGATGTTTGGCTGCACCCTTTGGTTCCATGATCATCGTATTGCGAAGAACGAGGGCGTAACAGATCGCTCCAAGGAAAATACGAAGAAAAATGGCAAGTACGCCAGTGTGGTACGAGCCATTGACATGAAAGAAAGATACAACCTGGACCGGGAGGGTCTGGTACTTTTCGCCATGCTTGTTGGTGGAGACTATGATCAACAAGGTCTACCCCAGTGTGGACCTGGTATAGCTCTACAGGCCGTGAAGGAAGGGCTTGGAAGAAGTCTTTGTGAGTGTCGAAACCAATTTGATTGTCGACTCTGGAGTCAAGAGTTGGCACAGTTCCTGAACACCTCGCCTCGAGGGCGAAGCATACCTATACCCTCATTGTTTCCAGACTATGACATTCTGAAAAAATACTACCGTCCGAAAGTCACCAGTGACCAGGACCTGCTCCTAGCATCGAGGCTCAACTTGGACTATATCCGCCCAATTCAAGAGCACGAACTGCTCAAGCTAACAAGTGAACGATTCAACATCTGGGGAAGACTTTATATGAATTGGATCGGTCCAGTCCTCCTTACTCGAGACCTCGCATCAAGGGACTCATCTAAGCCGAAGGAGATGGTTCACGAAATTAGAATCCCCAAGCAGCGATCCAAGACGGAACATCAGCCATCAATGCGAACCTTTGAGAGAAAGATCACGTTTTCCCCTTTTCGTGTCACAAGTCTTTGCAGGGATGACTTTGAAGGCTCACAATTTGGACACTGGAATGGTGATGACAAAGTACTTTTCGACCCTAAATACCGCGTAGAGTGTGAGATGCCTGAATATTGGCTTCGAAAAACTCTTCCGGCAGAGGTTCTCAACTCTTCGCTTCCAACTCCTAAGCCACATTCCAAAAGGAAGCGGACAGCAGGTGATGTCGAGGAAGCGATGGAGTCACCTTGCAATAAGCGAATATTCAAACCCCGCAGAGGTCTTAACTCAGATACCAGTAAATCTCACGCGCCTCAATCGACAAAGCCTGATATATTGGTGTCAGAATCAAAATTTCTGTCCAAGATGTCCAAACCAGACTCTACAAGTCCGACTAGTACACGAAAATCGATCGAGTTCATTGAACTTTCTGACTCGGAAGACGATGAAACCCTTCGAGTTCCTTCGATTCCCTCGTCAAGACAACTACTTTCTATAGAGGCTGCTAGATCTTCTCCCGGCCTTGGTCCATCTACGGCATACAGTCTAGCGACCCCTAGCATATCGCAAAACAATCGGGAAGATCGTACTCCATTTGATTTATCAAATAAGAATGATGAGTATGATGAAGTTTATGATGAAGATCTTCAGCTTGCTTTACGTCTCAGCATGCAAGAAGCCTCCAGCTCCATGATGCATTCGTCAAGCAAGGGTAAATTTGACGATATCTTCGCAATGAGAGAAGAAGGTCGGAGTGTGGAGGGGTTAGCTGTGCCTGCTTGGTCACTTGACCAGGCATTGACTTCTGATTTGCTTCCACCAGATGTTTCAACGCCAAGTAGACAGGCTAGAGGTATTGCGTCTTCAGGTAGCAATCCTTCTCACAGTGCCACTCATGCAAATTTTGCTAGAGCGAACTCAGGTGGGTTGCGTACCCAACCTTCCTCTAAACGCTCCAAAGTAGTACGAAGTTTGGTACCGTCACCCACAAGAGGAGAGGATATCATTGCTCGTCCGGAAGCGAGCTCCACCACCCCTACCAAGCATTCTCTTGACGATATTCGAGCTGCCCGGCTTCGACATTTTGGCGCACACTCCGAGACTAAGATCAGAGGTGAGTGTAATGTCGCCTCATCGCCACCTAGGGCTACGCTACCTGGCCATGAAGTGTCCTCTACGGTTGTACCAGCATCCATTGAGTGCATTGATCTGACTGAAGATTAATCATGTCTATGCAATGTCTGGCAAATTCAGTATCAAGCGATCGCTTGCCCCGAAAAACATCATTCACATTCTTTCAAAAGGCATATTGATATTGTTATGTCACATAAATGTACGTTTCTAGAACGATTTGCACTAATGGAATATGAAGACAGCTCACAAAGCGGATAGCTTATTGATAAGGAGGAACAAAGAACTTCTTTCGAGGATCAAATAGGGTCCTCAACAATCGCCACTTTCACCCACAGAAAATTCCCTAAAATGGACACCACGTATACTTACCAAGACGCAGTCGACAATGTTATTGCAGCCTTCAAACCCGCATATGACTCAAGCGACAACCCAATTTGTGTTATATGTGGACGAGAGTATGGAAGTGGCGGGGCAGGTTTTGAGCCTGATAATATCAACTTCCTAAGCCAACTACCCGGCCCTATCAGACGAAGATATATTGAAGACACCGTCGAAGCCATACAGACACCATGCAACCATACCTTCTGTCTCCAGTGCATAAGCTTCTGGTGCCAGGACAAAGCGATTTGCACTTGTCCCATGTGCCGTCATCCAATTATTCTCAAAAGAAACCCCGCCGATCTCGAACGTCCAGATCAGGACCTGTTCTGGGACGAGAATGATGTGTTGTGCTTGCCACCGCGTTGTATGACCGTCTTGGGTTGGGAAAACCGCAATATTTTCAAGCTGCAAACCCGAGATCTAGTCACAACAATGAAGCCTATGCCCTTCCGGTGGATCAAAGAAACCATGCTGCATGACTTGCCCGTCATCATGGTTAGCGTTGCGCGTCGCTTCTACTATCACGATTTGAGGCCAAAGGAGACTGTGCCGTGTGATCTTCTGTCTCTAGCACGACACGACCCCAGCATCAAGAGATTTCCTGTTATCCGCACTCTGGAAGCCCTGGCTCGCGATGATGCCCCGATCGCTTACCACGAAGACGCTTTTCGACTGCACGAGGGCTTGTGCGACATCATCAATGATCCGCAAGGTATTACCTTTGACAACGACGGGACATGTCAGAGCTGGGGAAAGGCTGTGCTGGCAGTCATGACTACACTTATCGAAGAAAAGACGCTCGTCGGCACAGATGGAGGCGTGTCACAGAGGAAATGGTGGATGTATGTGTGGTGCGTTATCAAGGCTTTGATGGTGTGGCAGGCGTATGCTGCGCGTTTGCGTGTTGTATGGCGCTTGCGCCATGAGCAGGGTGAATACGATTGGCACGATTGATGAATAGATTATTTGGATCGATGAAGAGTGTTCCAATGGCGAATAACGCCATGGTCTGGGAACGGCTGTCTGTAGTTTGGTGTACTAAGAGTTCGTCTGATAGGAATGAATACATATGATTCGTACAGTTCTGGTCGATCTTGTGTTGCTGCCATTCATGTTTGCATGCATGATATTGCTTGAAGTCGATGCCATCCGCTTGTCTTGTGATCCAGCAGCTATACCTATTCTTGATGGTAGCGTGCCAATCCCTCATGATTGTGCGAATATACAACCACTTTCGGGTCAGTTCTTACGCTTCGTGCTGCACTTTGCGTGCTAGGTGCGCACGAATAACGACTCTGTCAGAATCCCCAATTGGTAATGTCTGCGAGGTATGCTGGCTGGGTCAAGCAACTTTGGAAGAGCACCCACAACGCTCTCACATGCCCTTGCCAGCGACTCCGTGTTTCCCTCAACACCGCGCCGTTCTTTCTGCAAATAAACAGCAAATCTCGCTGATCCACCTTCTTCTCAGCGTGGTAGCCCATTCCCAGCACTACCACCTGCACTACTCACCCCACCTCCACTCTGCACAACCCTCACCCCAGACCTCGGCCCAGGCTGCCTCGCCAACGCCAACCTCACAGGCTCTTCACTCGCCCTCGCACCCACACCACCGCTTGCCACCCCCGCCGCACCACCCGTCCTCGCCTCCCCTGCTGGCCCCCGTCTCAGCAAATCGTCCAGCCCCAGATCCCGCCACGTCGGCTCCTTCTTCGCCTGCGTCGCGCGCTGGATCCCGAATGCGGCGTGCTGGTCTGGCACGACGTCGTCTTCGTCTTCTGGATTTACGGGCTGGAGGTGTGGGGGGATGTATATGTCTTCTGGGGAGAGTTGGGAGGAGGTCAGGTTTGTGAATTGTTCGAGGAGGTCGGCGTGGTGCGACGCGTGCATGTGGAGGTATGTGGCTGTTGAGTCGCGTGTCTGCTCGAGAGTCAAGATTGGTGGGGGAGGTGGGAGGGGTAGTGGTGAAATACCATTTTTGTAGAAGGGGGTTTTTTTCTTTGACTGCAAGTTTTTTCGGTGTAACAGGGCTTGTGGAATCGTTGTTATGGGGGTGTTGACGTAAGTGCGGGTTACGCTTGCATGAGGACTGAATGGCCAGCGCTAGCCGGATGCGGGTTCCTGCCGTATGCTACTATCGTTATATCGACTTCACTTCGTTACTTCAATGATTGCTTTTCGTCTTTCGCCATTTCTTGTTTTCTATCATTGTTGTTTCTCATGCTCCGGTTCTCTGTGTCCCTTTCGATCAGGCTATGTTCGATATACGACAGATATTATTCATCGATTTGAAATCCTACAGCGGAATATTTCCGTATCAACGGCTGCCACATGTCTCAACCTATGTATCTGCAAGCCATGTAACAGTATGGTGACTCAATCCATTCACTACTAGTTTTCCCGATGAGAACTTGCACAGGGACAAGAGCGGGTCTTTGGCTATTCTCACATCTGAGAAAATACGTCCACCGTTCTGCACTTGGCTAACGGCACTTGTAAATGAGACTCTCCTTACTGAGACGGTATCTCTTGAGTACGCTGCCATTGCATGACTCGTTATCAGTTCTGGATTCGATAATAGTCCATCCCCCAAAATTCGATCCTATGGGCCGCCTTACATTCGAATTGCCGAGGTCAACAAGTTCGTTGTTTCTTGTAGAGACCCCCCAATGTGGGTCGTATGACATCTGAAACTACGTATATAACCGGTCAGCTCATGCTCGCTTGTTTTCACCACAGTCCGAGCTTGCAATCCATTCACTGACTGATTGATATCTCTAGATCTGCATTTTCCTTGCTCATCGCAGCAATCACCCTTCTCTTTGGACCCCGCCACGATCTTTTCTAATTGCTCTGTCATGGCTGAAGGACGCTGCAACTGTGGAGGCATCAAAGTTTCCACTCCTGCTCTGCCAGAGACATCCATAATCTGCTACTGGTATGCAAGATCCTCCGCGTACCACCCCACACTAATACCAGAAGTTCAAATTGCCGCCGCTCAGGCTCGAGCGTGGGATCAATCCTACACGCTCTGGAAAAATCCGAAGTTACTATCAACGATCCCAATGGTAATCTCAAGAGCTACAAAGACAGCGACACAAAGAGTGGGAAAACGCTTACTCGCCAGTTCTGTAGCAATTGTGGATGGTAAGTTACGCAAAATGTCTGATGGATCGTGGCTGACATCAATCTAGCCCCATTGCTTACCTACTTGGCAATGATTCCCCGAAGATGATCTTGGGCGGCGGTCTGTTTGAGCACATACCTGCTCCGAGCTACAAATCCTTTCCGGAAAAAGAGCCGAGTTGGATGAGCATTCTAGAACCTGACGATAAGAAGCGATAAGAGATTAAGCTGCCAATTCCTAACATGACAATCGAAGCACATCCGTAGCTGTGGCGTTTAATACATCTACTCCATCTATTAGCTATTACTGGCTTAGCTAAAGAATATAAATAGGTACTGTTATGCTAGCCGGCTAACCCCGTTTATCGGCTGCCTAGAGTACTACGAGGAGACAGCCCTTGCATACATAAAAAGTCCAGATGCAGCTTGTGTGACTTGAATAAAATCCAGATGCGAAAAGAAGGAGCTACACCAATCCTGTTGACTGTTCCAACCCTCAACTGACGAATCAACGATAGCAATGTGATCAAGGTATTAAAATTATGGTCATCTCGCATTCGCTTCGTATTTGCAAGTCGTACCTACTCTTGGTTTGCACATTCTTAGTTGATGAAACCAACACCATAAACTCGTATTCAATGCGAACAGTATCTACGATGCGGAAACTAATATGTATTGGAAGTGATTATTTTCCATCCCATGTCTCTCTTGTCGTCGATGAGATGAACTTCCCATTTGTCTTCCTCGACATGGTATAGTCATATGTAAAAACCTTATGTGTGTTGATTTACTCGATACTAATGAGATAATATAGCACGTATGTCATGGGGACAGCTAATTATTATCAGCGTTAGTGATTGCATACTTTTGTACAACATAGCTTTTGCATATTATTCAGTACATTAAACTTTGTTCGGCGATATCTCCACCACGGGTGTAAAATAGGTCGCCTAGTGTCGTCACTACTGTTGGAGGCTTAGACAAAGGCTCTGATTCAAAAAGTTGATGTTCTGCATACATTTCCGAAACTTTCTTCACATCAATCGGTTTTCTATTGATGTTTCCAGGACCATCCTTTTACCCATATACTATCTCCCTTCACGAAGTTTGTCCTTGAATATGTGAGCTTTGCAAGTGAATAATGCAGCAAGTTTGCTCTATCCATAGGAGCATGCAAATCCAATTCCGCGATAGAGACGTGTTGATATCTGTTATCATTTTCAAGCGCCTTTGACTACTCCCAATACCCTATCGTTATGACAGCTTTTGTAGGCGCGCGCCCTGGCGCACTTTTTACACAATGCAATCATACGAGGGATCTATCACCCAAATCCACTCTTACCCACATCGAACCACTAACACCAAACCAGACATCATCATCGCCTGATTGTGTCCATCGCCAACGGCAGTTGCGAATGTAAAGATGGCAACTAGTTAAATCCCCGGTCAGCCGTTCAACCGGTGTTTCCTTGGCATTCCCCACATCGCCCCCCATTCTTCCGGTACCCAATTGCACCGACGACGCCAAACCTCCCTGGACAAATGAGCAAATGCATCACCAGGAACCAAAAGTAAATTGCGTTTGAAAACGCACAGGGCTTGCCAAGCAAGTCCAGACAGATCGGGTAAATTGATGGAGGGGTGCGACAAGATCATTTAAGCATCGTGAAACGTGGCTTTCCACCTACTTATACATGAACCCGACTTTCCTTCAAACAAAGTGCGCAATCGGAAACTTTTTTGCTCCCTTCACTCCCATTGACACTTCGTGGTAGCAAACCCTGAATGCAACAGGATAGAAAGAGCTAGTCACGGGAAATTATGTACCTAATCGCAGCAATGTCATCGCCGCGGAACCACCGAAAGAGCACGCGTCTAGCCCTATCCGCTCTGCTTTTAACATCGGCAACGGCATCGCTCAATGTACATGAAGGTCAAGATGGCCAGGAAGAAATATACTACCTACCGCGAAGCGCTCCAATCCACGATGGTTTTGTCAACAAACCGCTTTCTACATGTCCCGTCAAGCCTGGCGGCGTGCAAATGTCGTACACTTTTCCCTGGACTCACACTCCCTCCTGCGTGGATATCTCACAACCAGAAGGAGTCTCAAGAAAGTTTTGTGCATACACGAACATCAACTACAACAATGGCCGCGGTATCAGTTTCGTCACCAGCCCTGAAGTCGCAGCTAGCGTGACCATGGAGACATTTGGCATGGCGATTGGCGGCATGGAGGGGCAAATTGGAGAAGAGATGGGCATGTGGGAGGTAAAGGATGCGGGAAGCAAAGGAAAAGGATTGTTCGCGAAAAAAGACATAGGCGCCATTTTCCCAGGCGAGAGCCTCATTGTGCAGACGCCGGTTTTGATTGTTGACAAGAGCGCGTTGGAGCCCGAGAGTAAGGAGGAGGTGGAGCGTGTGCTGCTGACGGCGGTGGGGCAGTTGCCTTGGAAATCAAGACAGATGGTTGTAGAGCTGAATGGGAATGAAGATGGGTCTTTTGAGGATATTGTCAAGACAAATGGGATTGGATTCACGTGGCCTTGGGTCGACGAGATGCCCAAACTGCTGAGCGTGACTCCAGAGATTGCTGTGAGTTTGAGTAAAAGATTTTCAATGAACTGAACTAACATTGAATATAGCGCATCAATCATGCGTGCCGTCCCAACACGCTTTGGCGCTTCAACGACTTTACACTCACATTCGAGGTGTTTGCGCTTAAAGAAATCAAGCCAGGCGAGGAAATCACACGAAGCTGTAAGGTTGAACCTTTCTTCGAAAATCTCAGGACACAATTAACATGTTTCAGATGGGTTTGAAAAGCGATCCCATGGACGTCGTGTCCGCTCTCTTGAGGCCAACTTCGGGTTCAGCTGCGCCTGCCCTCTCTGTACCGCCTCGGACGAGAAAATCATGGCTTCAAACGATCGTCTCAGCGAAATCAAAGCGCTCAAATCAGTGTTACCCTCAGATCCAGAAGAAGCAGACAGGACCCTCGAAATATTACCTAGCCTAGTTGAGCAGTTGGAGAAAGAAGACCTCATAGCAGAGCTGCCCGCGTACGAAGAAACCCTAGCGTACACGTGGAGTATGTTCGGGGAAGAAGAAAAAGCAAAGCATTGGGCGGGAAGGGCGCAGAAGCACTGGGCTATTGTGGCAGGTAAAGAGAGTTGGGAGCAGAGGCGGTGTGGGGATATGGAGCAAGATGTCAAGGGTCATAAGACGTGGAGGACTTGGAAGGGTCTGCAGGAGGAGGAGGAGAGTGATGATGAGGAATGACCGGTTACCTAAGGTGAGCCTATGTTTAGTATTCGACACCCAGCCGGTGACTGTTCGCCAAACATTGTCTTCTACGATTAAACTTACATATATCTCAGTATCACTTTTTTTCAATTCACAATAAAAGATTTCGATAATCTGCGTATATTGAAATATGGAATGGAACCCGCTATAAAAAAATCTCTGATCGCTATGTCAACAAATAACGTCAGGATTACAATGTGTCTACATAAACGTTGCTAGAAAAGAGCATGTCCTCGCCGGAGATGCCTTGTTCTTCAGGAATCCCATCAGCTGCGGTCAAAGCATCGAAGCCCTCTGCATCGATATGATCAGGGCCAGGAAACTCATTGAAACTGCTAACGCCATCGATATCGTTGAACCAGCCAGTGGTACTTACACTAGGAAGATCTAAAGGCTCACAGTCGCCAATAGGATCGACGTAGTCCGCAAGATCATTGCTCTGAGTATAGTCATCTAGATCCGAAGACGCCCCAACGCCGTAGGATCTGTTGGTAGTCTTGACTCCACTTCCACCAGATACCCACTCTGTACCTACATTTCCACTATCCCCAACACCCATACCAGCCTGCACAACAGACATAATAGAATAATCAAAGGCAGCATAATGCATGTTTCTCACATGCGAGGTGAGTTTATCCTTCCTCGAGAAGGGACGTTTTGGGCGGGGAAAGCTCTCGCTACGGTTGCAGTTTGGTATTGAGCACCATAAAGGCTTCGTGAGTTCGTGGACTGAATTGCGGTGGCGTACGAGGTCCTGAGGCCTCCCAAAGGTCTAGGTGCAATCGGGCCAGGTGCAATGGACTCTGTCGCGCGGCACGACGCGGCCAGGGTTGGCGGGGGCGGAATCGTCTCCGCTCAAGAGGTGCGACGGTTTGCTTTGGGTCTCGTTACCCTTGAATCATGGACCAACAGTGTGGTTATTTCCACGGCTACACATGCGGGCGTGAGTCCCGTGGTCTACATTAGCAATGGACGTAAAAGTCGAGGCGCCGGGATCAGATGTCAAAATTGCCCCAACTTTGGAAGGGGATGCAGAATGGCCAGAGGCGACCAAAGGGAAGCCTGAAATGGCAGGTTGATTTGGCCAGAAATTTTTCGTGGTGGCTACGTTTCCGTGTTAATGTTCGTTGTCATGACTGAAACTTCGAATGTATCTAGCATCACCACCGACGATACTGGTGGCAGCCTGGTAAAGTCCGCTATCGATAGACTGGCCCTCATCGTAATTCTGTAGTTCAGAAAATTCTTGGTAGTTCGGTGGTGTAGTTTGAGGGTAGGTTTTAGAGATATTGAACATCTGGCGAGATTTGCCGTTGGCTCCGGACAGCCCAGTCATTATTGTAATATTGAAAAGAAGGCGGGATCGTTTGAAAGACAATTAGAACTCTGCTACTTCGATTCTTAAGGGTGTATTGCAAGCTATTTATGTTCATTTTTCGAGGGCACTCACTCTCTTATTACGGCTAAGTTTTGGATCCTTTTGGGAACCTTTGAAACTTTAATGCTTTCTAATGTCTGTGTTCAGGCAGACAGGTCTCATCACTACTGGATAATGAGAAAGGGCTCATATAGGGATACGGACAAATAGGCTAGCGTAGCCGAATCTATGATGGGATGCCTGATATGAATGAGCCATCAGGTATGCTTGCAAATGTGCATCTGAGGGACTCATGGCATCCGTTAGTAAAAGTTCACAAAATTTCCACTCTGTCATGGCCATATAGATGGGAATACACCTCAATTGCCTGTTTAGCTTCCAATCGTAGAACCTACGCGCCAGCGATACAGCTTACCATGTCGCTTGAAGTCGCCAGAGGGCGTGCCAAGCAAAAAGGAAAGTAAGACGATCGGGGAACAGTCGCCTCGCCTCGCAAACGGCCGCTAGGGGTTCTCGCTTGGCATACATGCTGGCACATGGATTCACCCAGTGGACGAAAATTTCGGGACTCACAAATAGCTCGGACTTTGTATCTATTTTCGCCAGCTACTTGTAGTTTGAACAGATTTTTGCCAACCTTAAGACAGTACTTTGGAGTACAATAAAGACTATACGCCTTAAAAAGTATCATTATCCCTATACTCTACTAAGATTTCAAGGACTGAAGTTGCTAGCTATCTGGCGCGTTATCGATTTTCATAGGGCGGCGGCCTGTGCTAAGCCCCAGGGTATTCGTCCACTAGTGGCGTCCTTCACAATACACCCCTGTGGAAGCTCTAACTGCAATGAGAGAATGCAGGACCATTCCCGGTGCCCCATGAAACCAATGGTTCGCAAAGGTTTTTGTGTAGCCATGATTAGGGGGTAAACTCCATGAACATAATATTCGCCTTTGATCCGACAACCCACCATTTTATTCAGTTGAAGATTGTTGGACAGCTGTACGCAAAGGATTCCGTACATCATTCGATTTCTTGCCTGGGTTGATATTTCTATATCGAAAATCCACTTCATGCTAGTCCACCTCACGTCATGGCATCATTCAACGATTCACATGCTGGTTCCGATACATATACGATGGATATAGTTCCACCTCAGTCGCCACCTATTGACCCAGCACAGGCTTCAACCGCTGAGCCTGAACTCAGCATTGAACCTTCCATTCCAAAGCGTATTGGACGTTCAGAATGGAGGCAATTTGAACGTTTCGTTAGATTGAATTACCGCCGCATGGAGCTGAAAGAATTGCGCAAACTCATACTCAAGGACCACGGTTTTGTCGCCAGGTGAGGAATATTTCGATAAACCAACAGCTGATAGGTTTTATTAACAACTTGGATCAGCACTCAGCAATGGAAAAAGGCGCTTTCGGGGTGGAACCTATCCAAGTCAATTCCGAAGCCTGTCGCAAAATTCATTGGGAAGAAGACATACTTCCGCCGGATCAAAGAAGGAAAGAAAACATCCTTCAGATACCGTAAACAAGCGGTACCAAAGGACAAGATCAAACGGTACACACAAAAATATGCTAGCGAGGCCTTATCTCCAATCGCATGTACGTGTATCCACTGTATGCCGCGTCGGCCTATGATGTTTTTCTGTTGACGTTTGACAACAGCTTCGCCCTCTAGTATTACGTACAATACTTCGGAGTCTGCGAATACGGAATATGGGGTTCCGGTGAACCAGACCAATCGAAACGATGTTCCAGCAAGATCAGAATTCTACAATGGCCAGGATGTCGATAGCTTCCTCAGAATTTCTCAAATCGCTCAAACCTTCGTCAAGCAAGGTAACTATTCAGATGCGAAGCTCGCCTTCATGGAGGCTTTGGAAGGACTAGAAGCCCTATTAGGCACTGTGCACAAGATTCCCGTGCATATTTTACTCGTCTTTGTTGACGCCGCTATCAAGAACAAGGACTTCGATGGAGCTATGGAGCGACTTCGCAAGTCCTACACTCATCATCAAGAGCTACTTGGTGACAATGACAAGAAGACTTGGATGAGCTATAGCCGACTGGGCTTGGTATACGACGCAGAGAGAAAATACGGTCAAGCGCTAAAAACATTCAGTGCTGCGAGAGATGGCTTACGTGCAGCATCCCAGATGGGTGTAGAAGACATGTTCAATCTTACCTTTGAGTTGAACCTGAAAATTCTCTGTGCATACCATCATTTAGGCGACTTGGAATCTGCTGAAGAAGAGTTGTGCGATCTGATCCCGCAAGCCGAAGGGCTAGGTGACGCTTATCAAACTCAGAGCGCCTACTTCAAGCACCAACTCGCCCATATCTATAACAGCCACGAATGGCATCCAGAAGAAGCTTCACTATGTAATGCAGCTCCTCCAAGAAAGCGTATAGAGAAAATGCTTCTTGAAGCTATCTATGACTACGCTGTCACTTTTGACGAGGGGCCTTATTATCTGTGTTCGTTAGAACAGTTACGAACATATTATGAGACCACAGGTGAGGTCCACAAGCTGAACTGCCTGATCACGGAGAAAATCGAACCTATTCTCAGCGCGATCCGACCGGCCAGCGACCTATGCGTTGAAAAGTACCTCGAGCTAATGGAAGGGACCATATATTCATTGTTGCGACTTCGTGAGTACGAGAAAGCTGATTCATGGTTGCATTGGCGTCAACAACAGATCGAAAACTTAGATCTGAAAGGAACCTATTCCGTCGAGGCACTATGTAACCTCATGATGCATGCCAAGACCTATCTTGATCGAAGCATGCCTCAGTCTGCGGAGCCGCTGCTTGAGAAAGCTCAGCGGATAGCTGAGCAAATTCTGCCGCCTGGCCATGCTATCCATACAACCATAGCTGAGACAATCGCTAGGAAGGCTTGGTTGCGTCGGACATGCTGTCAATGCCTAGTCAACTCACCAAATTGCGACCTTGACGACACGAAGTGATGAACTAGGCATAGTATATCATGTAACGTGGACTAGACCCCAAAATTGTCTCCATACGAGCCCAAAGACCCATCAGCTCACCACTCGGTTCACTAGTTTGCTCTTTTTGGCTTGTTTCCTCCACTTCTTTGATCTTTGCTCTAGCAACCTCATCGCTAGGCATACCCTTTACCTACATGTCGCTCTATAAATCTTTTACTCTAGCTATTCCAGTGTCTATTATCTCATCTAGTCATAAATTGATCTTATAATAATAGCCTACGCTATTATGGCTGTGGAATTGAAAGCGTGAATGACTGAAAACTATGAAAACCTTCAGGCTTCAACGCATAAGATATTGCTTTCAGTCATCAAATAACTTGCCTTCCCCCTGAACACTATCTATTTTCCAAACATGCACTTCACTGTCCGTCTTCCCCCACCCTTGGGTATTTCCTGACCCATCCAAGATCTTTTCTACATCATTCCTGACACTTTCTAAAACCGTGTCTTCAGGCAAATCTGCAAACTCATGGATAGCCAACCAAGTCGACGGCTCAGGATGCGGCTCATCGATAGTAGGTAGCCCCTTCAAAGCGCGAGACTGCGCATTCGTTCTTGCGTACAACAACTTGAACTGTAGTGTGCGAATATAATGCGGTGTTTTCGATATCACAGCCGTTTGCTTCCACCCAAAACCCAACATTAGCAATCTGTCAATATTTTGCGACAAAGGGCATGAATCCGTACCTTCTCAAAGAACTCCATAACCTCTTTCTCCCCAGGTTCCTCATCCGGTCTGATCCCAGCCGTAACGATGAACTTGGCTCGCCCTACCACCCTCAGCACACACATCCATCACTCCTGACAGCCTACTCACTATCACCTTTCCTCGCTGTCGCCCCCCTAAACCCCAAATAACTAATTTCAAAATCTGCAACATCATACACGACCCCACTCCCCGGCAACGTCTTACCCTTCACACTAATCCCTCTGAACTCTTCGCTTTGTGTAAACGCTAGATCGGGCATGGGGTAGCATGCCAGAAACGGGGTTGGGTTGCGCGAGTCACCCACAGGAGATGTTTTGGAGACGTCGATGTAGCGGAAGGCGCTGGTGATGTCGCGAGTGGAGAGGACGTCGGGGATATGCTCGGTGTCGTACCAGGCGAGGTAGGTGGATTCAGAGAGGAGGAGGTGGGAGGTGGGTGCGATGCGGGAGCGGACGAAGAGGATGCCGGGGCCTGAGATGGGGTTGCGCATTTTGGGATGGTGGTGGGATTGGGGTAGGAGGGCTGGCGAGGGAAGGGGGGAATGAAAGTTAGAAAGTTACAAGGAGTGCCATGTGTATCATGCTGAATGCCAGAAACCAAAGGCTGTGATAGGAGATGTTCGGATATGTATTGCCGGTATATGGATGCATACTACCCCGCTTTTAATACCACCAGAAATAGGTTTTGCCGTCGTGGCTCTAAGTGTAAAGGTTAGGGGTGTAAAGGGACCTCAGAGGAGTGGATATGTGAGTACATCTTTATCGCGGGAGAAATTCTCCTGATTCAGGCCTGTCTGTATGATCACCAGTTGATCAAAATCTATACTCTGACTGTTTACATATAGAAGGTATCCAATGTTTCGATATTTCTTTTACCAAACTCCTTTTATGGGTATGGTGGAAGTACTACACAACCGATTTGCTGGACGAGATGAGCAGGACAATGGTGCATGTGTTCCTGGCCCATTCAAGTGACTTAGTCACCTGATGCGTTGAGAGGACTCAAAGCTTCGACTTTTCCACCGCCAACTTCTCGAGACCCGTCTTGAGTGCCTCAGTCATACCATCCTTTCTCGGTCGCCTGCTCTCGCGGTCAACAAAAACATGGATAAATTCTCCAACTGCCTTTACTTCTTCCTGGCCCTGTTCAAAAACACCAATCTCATACGTGACAGAGCTCTTTCCCAGTTTGTTTACTCTCAAGCATAAGTCAACGACTGCAGGGAACTCGACTGGGGCAAAGTAGTTGCAATGGGAGTGGACGACAAGGCCGATGTCGAGAGACGTTGGTGGATGCAGTGCGCAGTGCTTAATCAGGTATGTGTTGACAACAGAATCAAAGCTTGGATCATGTCAGTTAAAAAGAACTATAGGAGCACAGACGACTCGTGAGAAGACATGCAGGTAATAGTAGACGCTGTTGTTCATATGGTGGTACATGTCATTGTCGCTCCTTGGGATGGTCAGCGTTGCATTGGACAGGGGCACAGCAAAACAACGGACCATCGCGTCCTGTACTCGAGCGTGAAGTTGTAATCGCCGCGACGACGCGACTTGAGTACCTCGAGAGCCATGAATGATATCAGTAGTGTGTTGTTGAGGCGAAGCAATTCGTGGTCGTGTCTTGTGGTCAAGACTCGGCCATAGCTGCCATTGAGCCTCGGCTCGTTGAAGCTGGTCCCGTCTGGTGGCGTCGGATGTATCCGACAAGAACCCGATTGGCGTCAGTCATTACTCGATCTCTATCTCGCCTAAATAGTTCCCATCCGGTTGTATCAGAAGTGGCTGATAGTGGTAGCATTGAACGATGTCAATTGCTGCGCCACCCGACGCGGTCGGAAGTGGTTTGTGATTGGCTGAACACGATGCTTACCAGCCACAATGCGGCGACCCCCACGTTGTCCCAAGTCGTTTTTTTCGGTACAGACCTTCAACCCCTCCAAGCCCCGCGATTCTGGCGCCGTCTCCACGCATCCTCGCATTCCTCGCCTCCAAGGGCCGCCTGCCCGTCGCCCACACTCGCCCAGGCTCACCCTCCATGGCACTCGTGCCTTCTCCTCCGCGCGACAAATATCCGCCTCTGCCCGACGACAAGTTTCCGTGGAAAGAGCCACCGCCTGTGGCCATTACGCCTTGCGATCCCTGGCCGCCGCCATACTACCTCGAGGATGGCCTGCGCAAGGTGACGCCTTACCACTACACATACAATACCTACTGCAAACAGCGATGGCGGGGCCGCGAAATTCTCGACATATTCGCGAGCGAGTTTCGCGACAGACCTGCCGAGTACTATGAACAAGCCATCATCGACGGCCGCGTCGTTGTCAACGGCAAGCCCGTGCCCAGCACGAAGACAATCATCAACAATGGCGATGTCATCTCCCACACGCTGCACCGCCATGAGCCGCCCTGCACTGCCCAGCCCATAGGCATCGTTCACGAGGACAATGACATGATTGTCATCAACAAGCCCGCGGGCATGCCAGTCCACCCCGCCGGTCGCTACAACTTCAATTCGATCATCGAGATCATGCGCGCCGATCGGGGATATGGTTGGAATCCCCTACCCTGCAACAGACTGGACCGCCTAACTAGTGGTATCATGTTCATTGGAAAACACAAGCAGGCTGCAGAGGACTTGAGCGCGCAGATACGAGGAAGGACTGTCAAAAAGGAGTATATCACAAGGGTTGTTGGCGAGTTTCCAGAGGGCGAGATTCTCTGTGAGAAGCCCATACTTCAGATTAGTCCCAAGCTGGGTCTCAATCGCGTTCGCGCCAATGGCAAGGAAGCAAAGACCGTCTTCAAGCGACTTGCATACTACCCGCCAAAAGACGATGGAAATGGCACTCAAGAGCAGGAAGGCGAGAAAGGGCCTGATGGTCAGCCATGGAAGAAACTCCGAGGCTACTCCATCGTACGCTGCTTCCCTGTGACGGGCCGGACCCACCAGCTGCGCGTCCACCTCCAATTTCTCGGGCATCCCATTTCCAATGATCCCATATACGCCAACCAGCGCGTGTTTGGACCTTCTCTTGGCCGTGGGCAATCTGAAGACGAAGACGACGAAGACATCATGTCACGTCTCTCGCGCATGGGCAAGGAAGAAGTGGCCGATGCAGTTGCGTACCACGACGAAATGGTCGATGCGTACAACAAGCGCAAGGCCGAACGCATGACGGGAGAAAAGTGCAAAGTCTGCGACACGGATCTGTACAGTGACCCAGGCGTGCATGAGCTCGGCATCTATCTCCACGCTAGGAGATATCGATGTGAGGAAGGAAAGTGGGACTATCAGACTGGATTGCCTGATTGGGCACTTCCACCGCCTGGCTATGAAGGCCCTACTGAGGGTACTGAAGAGAGTGACCCCTTGGCTGTTGATTTGAAGAAGCTGGGGTTGGAGGATGAGGAGTCTCAAGAAAAAGTTGAGACTTCATAGAAAAGTTATTAGATTAAGATACCCCGCAATGCATTCTTATTTGCTGACTATTCTTCATCACTCTCCCCGCTTTCATCTCGATCTTGTTCCTCATCGCTGTCTTCTTCATTGGCCATACTCGCCTCAGGAGTACCTTCTCTTTCCCTTAGTTGTGCTTTTAGTCCATCCAGAATAACCGTCATCCTCGCCTTGAGATCAGCATTCCAAACCAGACTAATCTGCCCCTCCATCTCTTGAATCTTCTTCCTCAGCTCCTCCGCCACCGCGTCTTCCTCTTCATCCTCCTCCTCTCCATGCCCAGCCCCGGGTCCATCCTCCACCTCAATCCCCCCACCAAACGCATCCGCAAAATCCACCGCCATCTTCCGATTCGCAATCGCAAAAACAACTTCTTCAATTCCAGACCATGTCTCCACACCCCCACCCCCATCCTTACCCTTCTTCTTACCCCCCGCCACACCCCCATCCAACACCCTCCAAAACGCCTCCGCCACATCTCTAACCGGATTTCCATACGCCCCACACCCCCACGCCCCAAGCACCAACCTATTCACCCCCTTCCCCTCCGCAATCCTCAACACCCCTCTAATCTTCCTCTCCACAACCTCCCTATCCTTCCTTCCTAACCTCTTCTCCTCATCCTCCTCCCCCTCCAACTCCGGAAACCGCAGCATCCCCGCCGAAATAACATCGGCGTACCAGCGCTCCGTGGGCGGAAGCTCAGCGTGATTATCGACCAAGGGACCGGGGCTCCGGAATACGAGCACGTCGGGGGTGTAGATGCCGCCGTATTCGGGGAGGCGGTAGTATTGGTCTTTGAGGGAGGGGAGGAGCGTGGTGCGGGCGCAGAGGAATTCTTCTTGTGAGGTCGCGCCGAGGTAGACGCCGCCGCCGGGACGGAGGGGGGAGGCCATGTTGAGGATGCATGTGTTTTGGGTTTTCTTAGAGGAGGGTTTGGATGGGGGGTGGGAAAGGAGGTGTGCGGCGGTTAGGGTGTCGGTTGTTATTATGCGGATGATACGAGATTTTGGGGGGAACGATGGGGTTGTGGGGTGTAAGGTGAGATTTGAGAGGCCTTCATCAAGGGAATCATTGCGTTTACGGTATTTGCCTTTTGAGGAGGTTTTGGTTCCGTCTCTTTTTGAGTCATTTATACCTGTGACGGTATCTTCATCGATGATCTCACTGCCTTTGGCTTTTCGGCGCCCTTGGCCCTTTCTTTTTACGTATGCTGCATTTTCATTGCCTTCTGTACGTGCGCTGCTTAGGCCTTGTCGTCCTGATGCTCCATTGGGGCCAGGATCAACAATCAATTCGCTGCTATCTGCACCCCGCCTTGCTCTTGCATTTGATGCCAGAAGCGCAGGTACTACTTTGTTGATGATGTGGCGTGCTTGTTTGGCCCGGATGTCTTTGCGAATGGCGGGTGGCGCTAGACCCTGGGATTTCTCCGTGCGGCCCATTTTGACACACGGTTTGTGCTTTTGTTTACCCACCTATTTCCTGTGAACTAGGGTCAGGGTTCGTGATGGAATGGCCTGGAAAACGGAGGGAAAGTGGTTGCGAGATATTGATTAGAATTGTGGCAGGTGTGATTTGGAGAGTACTATGTTGGTTGGGTACGGAAATGCGGCTATGACGTTTACAGCAGGTCGGGTGGAGCTTGCTCGAACCTCACTTGGTCAACTGTCTTGCTTTTTGCCAATGGTGTGTCAATGGTGTGTAACAGCCATTGTGGTTTTGCAATTGGTGACGTTGCATCTGTTTTCGACACTTGATGAAAACTACCCAAACGAGGAAGTAACTTGGTGGGTGCTTGGTCTAGGGTGTGGGTGGAAGGTTGAACGGATATCTCGTTTCGTAGCTAGTGGCTCGCTTGCCTCGACAGCCATTACCACCATTGGCCATCGTTCTCTTGACATTATTTCCTTTCAATCACTATGCTTCTAGGCTCTTCCAATGACCCTCTACATTCGATGCTGAGTTGAAATTGCCTCATAGGGAACCCATTGAACGAAAGCCGGGTCTAGGCCAGACCGCCATGACCTCAACCGCCACTTTGCAGAAAAATGTCCCACTTACCGGTTCTGGGCGGAAATTTCTAAATTCCGTCTTCTTGAGTGGTGGCTATCCTGCCTTCAGTATTCCTCGTCACTTGTATCTCCGCCGAAACTCATTCAGGCTGTGTGACATGAATCTTTGCATGTGCACAGACGAACAATTTCATGGTAGATTTGAGGTGCACTGGAGCTTCCTGATGCAATCGAAATGTTTCGATGAAGTTTCTCTATTTGGCTTGTTAAGGGTTATAGCGTCCTGTCTGGAAGTTGCTCAATCAAATTATGAGTGGTCAACACATATGTCAATGTTGTGTGGCTGTAATGTTGAGTTTGATTGCATATATACAGGTCCCTGAAAACCCACCACGATTACATGATGAGATAAAAGTCTTTGGGAGGTTATGGTAATGATGGAAGATCGACCCAGTGCATGACTCTTCTCCATTCCCTTAGCATACTGCTTACACATAGATCTACTTCTATATAATGTTCATTCCTCTTTCCCAAGTAGAGAAGCTTCGACACTCACCTCAGGCATACAACAACGTAAGTTTTGTATTGACTGAGCAACATGTCTCCCCTCCAACAGCTCCTCATCGTTGGTGCTGCAGTCTCGACTGTCCTCGCAGCACCCGTCATTCCCAACGCTGAGCCTGCATGCGAGCCCCTGCCTCATGGCCACGGTCTCATCCCCCGACCTGATACCGCAGAGGCTTTCCAATCCTTTCCCGCTTTCTCATTAGCAGCCACTTCTGCAACAACGCCAGTTGGCTACATCCAGGCGTACTCCAACCTAGTCACCACCTTCAATGAGCCCTCTCAGTTCCTTCGGTACTTTAACTTGGGCTCGTATGATGTCAACAAGTGTAAGTGGGCACATCCTTCTTCCTAAACTCACAATCTCTACACTGCAACATCTTATGGCTAGTCCTGGCCTCACTTCTTTTCTCGTCAAATTTGCCAATACGAATCTCTTGAATTGTACTCAACTTCTTTAGGTGCTGCAGAATGTGGAAAAGATGACAAATGCAACATATTCGGCGTCTTCTTCGAGCGTACGCCCATGTACAAGCCTGGGCCCAAATGCCCCAATCCCTCCTCCAGCACTATGATCAAGTGCACTCTGTGGTCCGGTACCATGTCGCCCAAGACGGGTATCAACAATGGACAGACCAGAGAGCAGTTCCGTATCGTCATGGCTGGTTCTAACGCATACGTCAAAGACATTACCTTTAGCAATAAGAAAGATGGTTCCTCAAACATCCTGAAGAACTGGGTTGTGGAAAAGTACCAAAATGGTGCTGCTATCCAGGTACCTCTTGACTGCAACGGCGTAGATACCTACATGGGCATGGCGGCCTGGCGCGATGGTAAATTTGATGCTCAGAGATGCCTCGACGCCTGCAAGGTCGCTGGCGATACTGATATCCAGAGCCGGAAGTGTCGCTTCGTCAACACTTACGTACAGCGCCGGAATGGGGTCCAAGTTGCTCAGCATTGCGCCATGTTCTCTGAGTATTGGCCCGCTCCGTAAGTACTTTCCGAATGACTCTTTTGGATATCCATTGGGGTCAGATATCTAATGTTTTCTTGCAGCTTTGCTACAAATCTGGGTCAACGCCGCGGTGATATTGAGATCTCCCAGACAGATTCTTATGGGTATGTCTACTCACTAATATCCTGTATTCTCTTTATAATTGCAGATGGAGACTAACTCATTGACCAAGTCTTCGCCAAGTCGAGGTTAAGGGTACTGCTTGCTATAAACCCCAGGATCTCCTAGTTCCAGTCCCTCTACGGTCAACCACTATCCCTGATGTACCATTCGTATCAACCCCTGCTCCCGTTTCCGCTAGCCCTTCTCCATCCAAGCCTGCTACCCTTCCTGTTATTCCTACTCCCGCTAGCTCATCTCCCATCCCACCTAAGGCCCAGGTTTCGGCCACTGGGATCCAAAGTCAGACAGTCGCCAGCTCCAAGTTACAAAGCGAGATTTCCTCCCTGTATACAGCTTCCTCTGCTTCTATCGCTGTCTCAGCCAAGGCTCCTACCTCCAATACTTCCGCCCCAACCTCTGTGGCCTCAATTGCAACTGCCAAGGTCTCGGGTACTCCATCAGTAGTCCCAAGCACTCTTTTGTCCACTCCGGCTGCACCTTCAAAGGCACAAGTCACCTCTTCAGGAACCCCAGCGATTCTTTCCAGGGTCTCAGATACTCCCTCTACAGTATTGAGCACTTCTTCCATACTCCCAGCTACTTCTGCAGTAGTCCCAAGTATGGCCTCAGTAGGCCCAGCTACCGCATCGATAGTCTCAAATGCTCCTTCAGTAGTTCCAAACACTTCCTCCGCGGTTTCGGGCAACTCCTCAGTGGCTCAAGCTACCTCTTCAGTGGTGCCAGCCACCCCCTCGGTTCTACCAGCTGCTCCCTCAGTGGCCCCAAGTTCTGTAGTAGTCCCAGAACCCTCCTCCGTAGCCTTGAGTCTTTCCTCCCAGCTTCCGTCTAGTTCTTCAGTGACCCCAAGCACTACTTCAGTGCTCCCAGCCATTCCCAGCAATACTTTAAGCACTCCTACGGCGGCCCTAGCTATCTCTTCCACCGCACCTTTAGTAGTTCCAGCTACCCCCTCATCCCCACTGAATACTTCTTCCGCAGCCTTGGTCACTCCTTCAAAGCCTTCCGCTAGTTCCTCCGCAGCCCAGAGCATTCCCCCAGTGCTCTCAGCCACTCCTTCATCAACCCCCTCAACTTCCCTTCTATCCTCAGCAACCCCTACCACCCCTTCCCCACCCCCGCCTCCATCCGCCTCATCCATCGACCCCTCGAACCTAATTAACCCCGTGGGCATCTACCGCATCCTCCCAACAAGCATGCCTCCAATCGAGCCACGCCGCAGCGCCATCCCAGACTCTCCCTCCACCCTCTCCGTGCACTTCACCGCCTCCTCACCCCACTCTCCTTCTCCTTCATCCCTCCATCCCACATCCCCAGTACGCGCTCGTCTCCTCGCCCGCAATTTCGAACCCAAAATCATGGACCAAGACCCCGCGAGGCCCCACTTCAGGGGTTACAGCAAGAAATGCTGGCTCACGCAAGCTACATGCTGGTGGTCAATGCGCCCAGATACTGTCATTGCGGACCCTCATATTCCAGAGGAAAAATTCGATCCCAATGTTGATGAGTTAAATGTGGAGAAGCACGGGTAGAATTTGGCGTCGTGGTTTGGAGAAAGAGATATGGAGAGGGGAAGTGATGTCGTGTTGGTTGGTGTAGATGGTCGCGGGCCTGGCTATGGTGGTTGTTATAGGCCCCGTACTCATGTTTCTTATGTTAGATTGTTTAATGAGATGTCTTTTGTATTAGTGGGTTCAGAACACGAGATGAGAGAGAGCAAAAGGCGCGAATTGACGAAGTTACCGAGTGTATTGCACTACAGGCGCTTACGGTAATTCATCTCTGTGCCGACAATCTGAATAGTTAGATGCGTTGTTCACCAGGACTAATTTTTCCACAATGACTACAACAAGTATCACTTCATACATAACTATAACGGTATAGCGTTTATAATCCTGAGTCTTTGTATTGTTTTATTATTGTTTGATACTATGCCGATTGGTGATGAAAAGTGTACATGCCGAGGTCAATTACAGCAACGCAACGCACCTCATCTTCTCTGAAAATTTCTCGTTCTGGTGAGTCGGCCTGATACATGGTCTCGTCAATGTCCAACTCCAGTAGCGATCTAAAAATGTCTGGACTGGGATGCAGTCTTACGTTGGCGAGTACGTAGCAGTCCTCTATCAATGCAAGCCTAGGCTACATGTAACAGAACAGCAGCCTGATCAGCGGTCGCGCTCCTTAAGCTCTTCCGCCACAGCTTTAAGCCCGTTCTGATGTTCCTTTGAGACATGTTCCCAGTACTGTGCCCAGACACGTGATTGTGGGTCGTCCTGCGCTGTGCCAGCTTCGGTACCCATTCGCTTGTTGATTTGGAGTGAAATCTTGAGCACGCCCTTGGCACCTTCGTTGATCTTTTCAATTTCTTGCTTGACAGCATTCTCCTTTGGCTTAACGGCGAGTACAGTCCGGAAGTTTTCGGCAAGCGATTCAAGGCGCGAATGCACTTGGTCAGGAGCAATCACCATAAGCTTTGTAAGCATGAGATTGCAGAGGATACGGATGTCATGCTCGTCAGTGACACCGGCGACTATACGATCAAAGAAGTCAGAGATCTCAATAGGCGACAATCGTGCAAAAGCCTTCTCGAGAAGGGCGTATAATGTCTCATATGCACTCTTGCGGATTTCAAGACCGTCATCAACCTTGTGCTTAAATGGACCCATTTGAACCTCACGGATGAGCTCAGGTTTTACAACCGTCTCCTTCATTGCTAGAGGCAGCA